AAAAAAAAAAAGAAGAAGACAAACTTATTTACAAAACAGGAACTGATTCATAGACATAGAAAACAAAGTTATGGTTACCAGGGGGAAAAGGGGAGGGTGGAGGTATAAACTGGGAGTTTGGGATTTGCAAATACTAACTACTGTATATAAAATAAATAAACAAGTTCCTACTGTATAGCACAGGGAACTATATTCAATATCTTGTAATAATGTATAATGAAAAAGAGCATGAAAAGAAATATGTATGTATATATGTATAACTGAATTACTATGCTGTACACCAGAAATTATCACATTGTAAATTGACTATACTTCAATTTAAAAAAAGAGGCATCCCAACCAAGATGAGCCAATAGTCAAAGAATTACCAGATATGTGAGTGAGTTTGGAAACCAGAACTTCTTAGCCAATTCATCCAAAATTGCTAGCACACAGACTCTTGAACTAAATAGTTTCTTATTATTCTAGATTTCAGAGTTGTGTGTCATACATTATTGTAACCATAGATAACTGATGCAAAAAGTAAGGAATTATGAACCATAAGAAAAAGGCAAACACAAGGAAAAAGTGAACTTTGGGGAAGTGGGAAACTGTGGCAGTTGGGACACTTTCTTGAAGTGATCTTGTCTTAATTTATATTTTTTAAAAAAGGAAGGCCATATGAATAATGAATGCTATCCAGGAAGGTGAAAATAAGATTGAAGTGGAACCAATCTAGAAATATATCATCTTGTGATCAGTTTATGAGTTTCCCCAATAATGAATCTCTCTTCATATCTTTGAATTTTATTCCATGAATTCAAACATATACAGCCTCATGTGAATATAACAAAATAATTGTAATAAAAACAAAGCAAAAACAAGTATAGAAAGAAAGAAAGAAAAGATGAGAGAAAAAATGGAAAATAACAAGTGTTGATGTAAATATGGAGAAATCTGAATCCTCATATATTGCCTCTGAGAATGTAAAATGGTACAGCTGGTATGAAAAACAGTTTTGCAGTTCCTTGTAAAGTTAAATATAGAATTACCATGTGACCCAGCAATTCTACTCCTAAGTTCATACTCAGGAGATTGGAAAACACATGTTTAAAAAATAGTTATACACACATTATTCATAGACCAATATTTACTATAACCAAAAGGTGGAAAGGAGCCAAATGTCCATCAACAGATGACTGGATAAACCAAATGTGGTATGTCCATACAATGGAATATTATTCATCCATAAAAAGAATATATTACTGATACATGATGCATGGATGAACCTTGAAAACATTATGCTAATTGAAATACAGCAGACACCAAATGCCACATATTGTTTGATACCATTCATTTGAAATATCCAGAGAGGAAAATCCAATGAGACAGAAAGTAGATTAGTGGTTTCCAGGGCATGGGGATTGAGGGAACAGTAAATGACTGCTTAATGTATATAGGGTTTCCTTTTGGGGTGATGAAAATATTCTGAAACTAGATAGGGGTGGTGGTTGCAAAGCACTGTAAATGTACTAATTACCACTGTAAATCTAAATACACTACAAAATGTATATTTTTAAATGAAATTTTATGTTATGTGAACTTTAGCTCAATAAAATAATTGTCCTCTTCACATTATTTATGAAGTTTGTAGACCAGAAGAAAAACTGAGTGGTTACAAATTTTGTTGGCCTTAACTGGGTGAGATGATGACAAGATTTAAAGAACCACAGCAAATGTCTAACATTTAAGACTACATCCTCATCATTTTTAATTGGCAAAAAGAAAAGCTGAACATTCTGGTCCTATTTGGTAGCCATGATATTAATTTCTCTAATACCAAATACATCCCAATCTGTCACCAATTGTTTCACCAAAAATGCATTTACTGGCTCATTGCATTCTAATACTCCAAAAGGCTTGATTGGTACCAGAAATCAGGCTTCCAGACATGACATCTTATTCCAAACCAAAGTCTACTTGTTGAATAACCACAAGGTTTTCATCACATACAAGCAGTAACAACTCTGCCTCTTCCTTTCAAGCAGAGGCAGTATACCACAAGAAGTTATATTCCCAAGGACATCACCCAAATTAAATGGCTGCCCCAAGGTGCTACTTTTAATTATCAAAATTAAAAAGAATTGTTTAAAGCTTTATACTTTTTAATCAACTATACTTCAGTAAAAAGATAAAAAGTAAATTAAAAAATAAAACTTTATACTTTTATCAGTAGTTAGTCAGTATAGTTGTTCTTCTAAGAAAACAAAATAACCAGTTGTTTTCATATTAAATTTACATTATTTATTTACCATTTTATAACATTGATCTATAGACTTTGGGTTTGGAAAATTCTTAGTTGTGTGTGTCTGTCCAGTTCATCATAGAATCCTTAGCACCCTGGGCCTCCATCCATGAAATGCCTGTAGTGCACCATAGCATTATAATAGTTACAAATTTCCCTGCACATTTCCGCATACCCCCAGGCAGGTCCTCAATTCTCACTCTACTTTAGAATGACATGATACAGTAAAAACCCACAACTAGGTACAGCTCCTAAAATAGAGTGATTTTATACATTTCCAATTTTTAAAGTTAGATACATTTAAATTATCTTAAATATTTTATTAATTTGTTTTACTGTTTTATTGATGTATAACATACATACTCTATTCCAAGAATTAAGTTGTAAAGAGTATAATTTAATGAATTTTTTACCTATATATGCACCCATATACTCACCATCCAGGTTAAGATTTTGAGCATTTCTAACACATCAGGAATCTCCTTCACACCCCTTCCCAATCAGCTTCCTCTCAGAGGTAACCACTAATCTTTCTATCACCATAGGTTAATCTTGCTTATTTTTGAATCTTACCAAAATAAGGGAAAGAATCATAATATTCACTGTTTTGTGTAAGCCTTTCACTCAATATAATGTTTCCTAGATTCATTCATGTTGATGCATGTGTCTGTTACTCATTCTCTTTTACTACTATTAGTTATTTCCCTTTATCACAGTTGGTTTATCCATTCACCAACTGAAGGACACTTGAGTTGTTACCATTTTTTTCTACTATGAATAAAGCTGCTATGAACAATCTTGTACCTGTCTTTTGGCAGACACACACATATATGTACACACACACATACACACATACTCACTTCTCTTAGGTATATAACTGGGAATGGAAATTGCTGAGTCATAGGGCAGGCATATATTTAGCTTAACTAGATAATGCCAAACAGTTTTCCAAAGTGGTTGCACAAATCTATACTCTCACCAAGATCTGTTTATCAAAGTGTATCATGAAGAAAATAAAAGGAAAACCACAGACTGGTAGCAAATATTCAGCAATGGACTAGTGTCCAAAATATATAAAGGACTCCTCAAATCAGTACAATACAAATCAATAATAAAAACACAAATAACCCAATTATTTTTAATGGACAAAAAGCTTGAATAGGCATTTCAGAATAAGATACTCAAGTGGCCAATAAACTCATGAAAAGGTGCTCAGTGTCATTAGTAATAGGAGTGCAGATTAAAATTATAATAACTTACCACTACACACTGTCTAGAATAGCTAAAATTTAACAGATTGACAGTATTAAATATTTATATATGATTCAAGAAATTTGCCTTGTAAAAGAGACTTTTAGAAGAGGGTATAGCTCAAATGGTAGACTGCACGCTTAGTATGCACAGGGTCCTGGGTTCAATCCACAGTACCTCCTCTAAAAAAAAGTAAATAAATAAATTTTTTAAAAAAGGGAATCTTTTAATTGCATGTTATTATCCAGCCCTCTAAACACCAATCTTACGAAGTAAGTATTATTTCCTCTATTTTACAGATGAAGAAACTTAGATTGAGAGTGTCTGATTTTCCAAAGCAATTTTTAAACTATTAAGTGGCAGAGATGAAGTTTAAACCCAAAAAATTGTGACCACAAATCCTTTTCTTTTTCATCTCTGCCTAACCTTTGGCCCAAACAGAAGAAAACTTACATGTCTGTATTACTTTGGAAAATTGTTGGCATATTTTTGACAAGATTAGCAAGATATGTCTCAAACATGGCAACAAGCTCCTTACCAGACTAAAAATTTCTGAAACAGTGAGAATATCCAAATTTCTACTCATTTGCAAAATTAGAATATGCAGACAATGTTGCAAGCAGTCTCACCCAGCTTCTTCAAGAGTGTCACCCATGAAAAATAACTCACAACCTAATAACAAATTTGTTTATCATCAGCAAGGTCCTGTCATTAAGGTGTCACATATCTGTGTGCATCATCATATTATAGTATAATGGAGTGGAAAGGGTACAAATCCTGGAGTCAGGTGAACTGGATTTGGGGCTTAGTTTTGCTACTTTTACTAGTTGAATGAGTATAACCATATACAAGATACTTTATCTAAGTTTTATTTTCTTTACTTATAAAACAAAGGGGGAAAGGAGGGATGGAATAAATTGGGAATATGGGCTTAACAAATACACTCCACTTATATAAAATAGATAAACAAGGATTTACTGTATAGCAGAACTATATTCAATATCTTGTAATAATCTATAATGGAAAAGAATCTGAAAAAGAATATAGATAGATAGATAGATAGATAGATAGATAGATAGATAGATAGATATAGATATATCTGAATCACTTTGCTATACACCTGAAACTAACACAATATTGTAAATCAACTATAGTTCAATTTAGAAAGTAAATAAAAATAAATATATATACACCTAAAACTAATACAATGTTATGTGCCAATCATATCTCAGTAAAACTGAAAAAGAATTTAAAAAAAATATTAACTATTACATAGAGTCATGAATATTCAGATAAAAGCCAGATAAGATAAATGAGATAATTATCCAGAGAAAGTTATAAACCAAATTGGTACCTGAACTTCAAGAGTAGGTAGCAAATGTTTTCATCTAAATAGTTATTATTGTTTTTAATATTTTCTATGAACCTTGGAAAGTAAATTCTTGCCTCTCACTTCTCCTTCCAGTTCCACTTGTCCTATACAGACAAGGAGCGCTATGAAAATGAAGAGAGACCTGAGATCCAGAAGCAGATGCTCATTGATATGGCCAAGAAGCTACCAGTTTACACAAGAACTGGGAGTGGAGGTCAGTTCACCCAAAGTCATCTAGGGAGGCAGATCAGCAAAGATCTCAGAAAAGGCTGAATGATAAATATCTTCAGTCTAGCCCTTTTTCCCCTCCTCTTTTCTGAAAAACATTATGGAATTTTCCTCAACATTTTATTATAAAAATTTTCAAACATTCATCCAAGATGGAATAATTATATAATAAACATATATATTCTCACCACTGGAGTCTACCACTAACATTTTACTATATCGCTTTATCACATATCTGTCCACAAATCCATCCCTCTATCCATCATCCATCAAGCCATCTTATTTTTGATGCATTTTTTAACCTCAAAAATTAGTAATTATTATTATTGCTGTTGTTCTTTTGGTATAATCAAAGGTTGCTTGGATTTTTTAGGGGGAGGTAATGAGGCATATTTATTTACTCATTTCTCTTAATGGAGGTACTTGGGATTGAACCCAGGACCTCATGCATGCTAAGCACGCACTATACCACTGAGCTACACCCTTCTCCTCTTTTGATGCATTTTAAAGTAGCAGATATCAGTAGACATCCAACTAAATATTTTATTATTCTTTTTTGGGTGAAATTCACATATAAAAACTTGCACAACTCTTAAGTGTCCCATTCATTGTTTCAACAAATGTACACACCTGTGGAACTAAAACCTCTGTAAACATTACCACATCCAGAAACTTGTCTCATACTCCTTTCCAGTCAGTCCCTCCCTCCCCCCACTACCAAAGACAGTCACCATTCTGATAGTTTTCTACCATAGATTAGTTTACCTGCTCTAGAATTTTTTATAAGTGGAATCATACAGTATGTACTGTTGTGTCTGGCTTCATTTATTCAGCATAATGTTTCTGAGACTCATTTACATTCTTAGGTGTATCATTTTTTTTTTTGCTGAGTGTATTTCATTGTATGAATGTGTCATAGTTTGCTTATCTATTCACCAGTTGATGCACATTTGGTTTGTTTCCATTGTTTAGCTATTATGAGTAAATCCACTATGAACATTCTTGTACAAGTGTTTGTGCAGAGATACATCTTCATTTTCCTTCAGTAATATTCACTATGGAGCTTTACTGTTAGTCTTCATCTGCATGATTAGAACAGTACTGGCTGAACAATTCTCTGCCTTTTAAAGTTTGAAAACCAAGGCTCTTTTGACAAGTAATTCTAATATTTTTAATAAGGAAGATCGTGTTTCAAGGCTTTGAGAAATAATGCTATTAGACATTTATGTTCATCTGTTTATCATTTATTTATTCAACAAATATTTAATAGGGTCCCATATGGCAACTGGGTATATTTTAATAGAATCTGGGTATTAGATGATATTGAAGACTTGTTTATTTTGTTAGAGTATTAATGTCGTGGTGGTTATGTTTTTTAAAAAGTCTTCATGCATGCTAAAATATGATGAAAACGAGACAGACAAGAAATTATCTATATAATTTCAAACAGTAGTAAACAGAATGGTATGATAGAGCAGAGATTACAAACTAGAGGCATATGGAATGAATTAGACCCAGAGATGCATTGTTTGATATGTAACGTGCCTTTTAAAACTTTTTTTTTTACTAATTTTTAACAATTAGAGTATTTCCACATGAAAATCCACATTTCTGGCTTCTCTTGAAAACTCAGATACTCTGGCAACATTCAATCTGCGTTTTTACCTGGCATAAATTAGCTAGTGCTGAGTAGTAGCCACTCTCTTTAAACAGAGCATGAATTCTCAGGTTCTCCCACGGTCTCCAAATGGCTGCTTCACTCACTACTCACTATTCCCTGGATCCCTAAAGCATTTGTTTGCAGCTGCCTTGATCCAGAGTAATAGAGAAGCCTGCTCTGAGGAAATGTCATTTGATTTGAGCCTTAAATAAGAAAAAGTAACTTGCCATGCAAAAAGCAGAGGGACTAGCATCTCAAGCTGAAGGACCTGCAAGTACAAAAGGCCCTGAGAGAAGAGCAAATTTGCAGTATTAGAAGACTGCCAGTGAGGCTGGAATATAGTAAGGGGAGAGTGGTACAAGTTAAGGTTGAAGAGATAGGCAGAGGCCGGATGATGCAAGCCATGGTAAGGAGTTTGGCTTTTATTCTAAGGATGTTGGCAATCCATTGAAGATTTTTAGTGGAGAGTGATGTGATCAGGTTTACATTTTAACAAATTACCTGGAAAGTAATTTGTGAGGGGCAAGAATAAAAGCAGAAGTGAATAGTTAAGCAACTATTGCAGTTGTCTAAGTTAGAGGTGATGATGGCTTAAACTGGTCAATGGCATTGACCATATCTTTAAAAACATGCTGAAGGACCCAAGTGTGCATGTCCCTCTCCCCTCCTCCTTGCCTCAATTATACTCATGCTTTGGTCACCTTCCCATTGCTAGAAATAAACACAAAGGTTCTGCTGAAGCAGTAGTTCATTATGTTGAATCAATTATGTGTGCTTAAGGTACGCTACAGATGGAATTATTATATTAGCTCAAATCATTCATAATTTTAGTTATTACACTTAATAATCACATTAAACAGTCGTACTCTATCAGTGAACACAGAGAAAATGAGAAGGAAAGGAAAGTGTCTTTCAACTAAGGGAAATAACAAAAGGAAGAAAGGAGGGAGAGAGGGAGGGAGAAATGATTTTTTATATCATACTTATGAAGTGAAGAGAATTCTGAACTAAGGGCTCAGAAAAACTGTACTAGTCACAGCCTTGCCACTTGCTTGCTGTATAACTTTGTGTGGGTCACTTAACATGGCTCACATTTTTATTTTCCTTATCCATGTAATTGTCAATTGAACTAATTGTTCTGGAATGTCTCTTCTAGTCTTCAAATTCTTATTCTCAGAACTACTATCTCTACCATGCTTTAGGAGTTTTATACACCTCATACAATCTCATCTCTGGAGATAGGAGATAAGTTATGAATACTTACTTTCAAATAGGAAAGTTGGAATAAACAGAGACTTAATGATTTTCCCAAGATAACTTAAGCAGTTGACAGTATAGTTTGTTTCATAATGTAGAATTTTATGATCAGATATCCAAATATGAAAACTTTTCCCTTTGCCTTCATTCCCCAAAAATGGCTTTTAAGGTTGATCCAACAGGGGAAAAAATACATACCACATTTTTCTTATGTGATCTCTCTTTTGCTTGGTAACTTGAAATGGGATGAGTGACTACCTGTAATCAGTGTATAACAAATCATTCAGATAGACTAGTATGATGTCATATTGAGCCCTAACCAGTGCTAACTACCATGTTTTTTCTATAGCTGTAAGATTCTGTGACCGGTGCCATTTGATCAAGCCAGATCGCTGCCACCACTGCTCTGTCTGTGCCATGTAAGTGACAGCCATATTTCCCCTGGGCTGAACTTGGCCACTAATGTTTGCCTTGACAACCAAGTGATTGATCATAACATGTAACCATATCTAGACAAGAGCATTTCCTTTCAATCATAATGAGCACAAATGAGCCAAATACCCTCACAGGGGTGATGATGAGTCAAAGTACTGAATAGGAAATAGAAATAGAACCTCATTTTAAAAATAAAAATTTTATTTTAGAACAGTTTTAGATTTATAGAATTATTGTAAAGATAGTTCTTATATGTCCCACACCGCTTCTCCTAGTATTAATATCTTATATTAATATGGTACTTTTGTTACCATTAATGAACTGACATCATTTTTCTATGTTTCTTTTAACAATATAGCATTTTTTGATTTATAATCATTTTACAATGTTGTGTCAAATTCTAGTTTAGAGCACGATTTTTCAGTTATACATGAACATATATATATTGATTGTCACATTTTATTCTCTGTGTGCTACCGTAAGATCTTGTGTATATTTCTCTGTGCTATAC